TACCAGCGACTCGCTGGCGTTTGGACATTTTATTTTTCTTTGTATACGGAACACACTATCACGCACTCCGTCCGCTCCATCTTGCTGCAGCGACAGGCCAGCCAGTACCCCCCGACTGGGTGGACCTGTTCGCGTTTGTACTTACCCACTTGTGACTTGCCTGCCTCCATGCCGTTCGTGACCACCAGTGTTGTGAACGAAGCCTATGCCGATGCAAGCACCGCCGGCCTGGGACTTTGTCTCCCTGCGGGCAACATCACAGTCATCACCACCACGCCAACCAGTATCTACAAACGTGAACTTTGGGCAGTGTTCTTGGCCCTCCTGGTGACCCCTCCCAGAACTCTGATTCATTGCGACAACAGAGCTGTGGTGGCAGCACTTACCCGAGGACATGGACGGACATTTTCTGTAGTAGAGGCATTCGTTGCCGTACTTCTTCTCGCAAATAAAGCATCTTGGTTAGTGTGGATCTCCACCGACGAAAACCCAGCCGACGGTCCCTCTCGACTCCACTGCACTCTTTCCCGAGGAAGCGAGGGGACCCGCCGCTAGAGGGCCGCTCCTATATATAGGACGACCCGCCTTTATGCTGCGTCAGTTCGTGGAGTGCTACCGAGCCAGGAGCAGGGTTTAAAAAAAAACCTGCTCCTGGCTTGGGGTATGGGTGGCATAGCGAAGCCCAAAGGCCAAGGGCGAGGAGGCAGGCTAGGAGCAGGCAGGGTCCAACGGTGCTGCCACACTGGTAGGTTTTTGGGTCTATCTGGACGAATCAACGATGAAACCCTGCTCCTGGCTCGGTAGTACTTTTAGAAAAACAAATAAAAAATATACTATAGGGTCTTTACTCCCCGAACGACTGTTTAATGTCCACCGAACAATTAAAACAATCACGCCTAAATACTGAATTTCACGCATTATAGCACCCTGATGCTAAAGGTCGCTGGCAATTTGTAGCTTCCTGACGCAAATAAAAGAAGGCGGACAACACGTGTTGCCATTTTTCTTTGTCTCAATGTTTCGAGGGGTTCCCCAACCAGCTCGCCTCTGTACACCAGCACGCACTTTCCAAACAAGTCCGGGTCTGCCCACACCGGGTGCTTCGCGTACGCAGAAACCGGGTTTCCGTCTACGCATGCGCAGTGCCGACAGCAGCGCCACCGCTGTGGTGTGACGTCAGAGAGTTGAGTTTCTCTCCTGGTAAAATGTTCGAACTATTTACGCCTTCTGACCACGACGGCAAAAGTAGAGCTGTGAATAGGCTATCACTCTAAAAAAAAGCCCGTGCGTCTGCTTTCCCGCACAACAATCGGAGAGCCAATCAGCGTAACTTACGGAGGCAGCTCAGCGAATGACGATGCCGAAACATATGTCTAGACCAAAAAACGCAGTCTGAGTTGTGACATTAAGCAATGCAAGCGTGACGTTTTGCATTGCTTAATGTCACAACTCAGACTGCGTTTTTTGGTCTAAAGTTTAGACCAAAAAACGCTAGACCAAAAAACGCAGTCTGAGTTGTGACATTAAGCAATGCAAAACGTCACGCTTGCATTGCTTAATGTCACAACTCAGACTGCGTTTTTTGGTCTAGACATATGTTTCGGCATCGTCATTCGCTGAGCTGCCTCCGTAAGTTACGCTGATTGGCTCTCCCATTGTTGTGCGGGAAAGCAAACGCACGGGCTTTTTTTAGAATAGCTCAGAATTGCCGTGGCCCGCTTCCGCGGGGTCAAATACACTCGAGCTTATTTGGAAACGGTTTTCAGTGTTGTCAAGAAATCCGCCGAAAATGTTACAACAGCCATTCTCGGTTATACGTGATTTTCTCAAAATTTCGACGGGAAAGTAGGGTCCGTTCCCAGTATCTGGTCCAATTCAGATTCGTGTATTCGTAGGCTTCGTCGGCTCTCATTTTTCTATTCAATCTTTCCGAAAATATTAATAGCGTTTGAATCACGATAATGACAAGCTCTAACACTTTTGCATATGGTTCGGACTGCTAGAGCTACTTTTCGGCGAAAACTGGGCGTTAAAAAAAGCAAACTTTCGTTTTGCAATAAAACAAAAATTAAATTGAGAAAAAAATGTATTTCTTGGGGGACACGCACAACGAAAATTTGAATGAAATTAAATTAGCATTTTTTATTTTCTTTTAAATTCGAGATGATGTTTTGCTCCACCATCACCCTGGCTATCTGCCGATGAAAAATCCTGGATGCGATCCTATTCATTGCTGATCGCAACAACGGACTGGGTATTATATAAACATAAAAAGAAAGCAACCAAACATTAATTTGTAAGAAAAACTAAAATTTAATATCTTAATTCAACCTCTTCTATGCAAACCGCGCGAGAAGAATGACTGCAAAAATTACTTGGAAGCAAAATATTGTTCTAAAAGCAAGTATACGTTGGATGCAAACAATCCATCCCCCATTTTTTTTTTTTTTTTTTTTTTTTTTTTTTGCCTTTGCGGTTTTAACTACGTGCAGCCGAATAGCTATGCTCCGTTCAATGGAAAAATTGGGCGCATCCTCGGTAATTGGTGTATTGCGCTCCATGTATTTCAGTATGCTGTCGGCAGCCATTTTTCGATCAAAAATTTGAGAAAATCGTTCATAACTTTTGAATGAAAAAACGGCTAGTTCTGAAACTTTCGCATGTGAATCGGAGGACCGCTAGCGTACATTAGGGCGGGGAATGAGTGTTCGCCGATGGGTAGTTTGCTTTGGCAATAAAAAACCTTGTTTTTGTTTTTTTGTTTTTTGGTTGGGGGGGGGGGGATTTTAAACGAGGACCGTCCCGCAAACGAAGTTGACGCTGGGACTCGCTCACCCAGAAAAAGGACGGTACTGCCTTCTCTTCAAGGCGCCTCTGGGAGTGCAGTCCGCCAATTAGGCGGATGGCATAAGAAACTCGCCGGTTCTTGGAGCAGCAAGCATTGTTGACAGATAATTGCTAGTAATTGAGAGGGAGAGAGAGAAACACGAACAAAGGTGCCACTCGTTTACAACACAGCGTTACTGATGCGCGGCCCCAAAAGGACGGAGAAGTGTGGGAAAGTTCCGGTAGCGCATCCCTGCGCGTTCGAAAACAGCTACACGAGGCACTCTATTAAAAACACGCACACACAAAAGAAGGAGGTTCCACGCTGTGAATCTATATTGCGATCACGAAAGACACCGTGCCGGCCTTCTCAGAACTAGATGTGCTAGAATCTTCGTCTGAGAAACTGGCCGCGGAGTGTACAGCGTGTTAGCAGAGTTTTAGGAGAACGTTCCAATAACTCCGATAACGAGGCCCGATACTTTGTGGACGCCTTTCAGCACGCATCGTACCCTTATCGGCTATTGTTATCGGAGGTATCAAAACAGTCTACTTAAACTCTAAAAAAGAAAGAAAGAAAAAAACAACAACAAAAAACGCTTGTGAGGTAAAGTTGAGGGTTGGGCTAGTTGGTGCGACATGATTGGGGACTAAAAACAGCGCAAAACACCAAGGACCAGACGAAGTAGTAACACGGACACAGCGCTGTGTCCGTGTTACTACTTCGTCTGGTCCTTCATCTTTTGCGCTGTTTTTAATCCCGAAGCTTGTGATTTTTTTTTTTTTTTTTGCAGACACCGACACAGTTTGTTAAGGCGAATAATGCTAGGATGCCAGCGAAGGACGAAGCTCAGGATACGATTAGACCAGGAAATACGATGTGGGTAGGGACAACGAACGAGACGCTTCATTTGCTCCTCGTCCATCGCACTTTTCACATGTAAACGCATTCTCAGCTTCGTCCTTCGTTGGGATGCTTCTATTGTTCGCCCTCATTGACTGCCTCCGTGTTATGCGGGAAAGGGAACTCACAGACGTTTCTTTTGACTTTGAGACATTTGGGCGGAGACTGAGCGTACGGCAATGTTTATTTTTGCGATGGAAAAACCCCATAATTTTCTTTTCCGTGTACATCCTGCATTGTGCATCCTGCTCATTCGGTTTGCCATACGATACTGTGTCAAGCGAGAGTTTCGCTCATTTCATTGGACCAGCAAGCCGGCCTTTCTAAGGCATATGGTGTGCACTTTTTACTGCGCTCCGTGGTAAGTGGATATCAGCGGGACAGGGTGAGCCCACAGATTACAAAACATGTGCAAATTTTTTTTTTTTTTTTTAAATAAGCGCTCTTGCTTTTTGTATACCCGAGGGCACGACATACCTATAGACACTCGTTGCTTTAAAAGCGCGGTGCATTTGCGCGCACTCTTTTGCACAGCCAGAGCCACTGCGTTTGAATGACGTCAGCAACATATGAGTTGGCGTGTGTATACAGACGGATGAAATGAGCACACTGCAAAGCTGCGCGCGACGTAGACTGAAAAACCATCGACCGGGCTTGTCACACGGGCGAAACGTGGTTCCTCAAGTTCGGAGCAATCAACAAAAAGCAACGAGTCGTCATTGTCGCGAGCTTAGGCAAAGACAAAATGCCTCGATCAAGACACACGGCTGCAACGGAAAAGCAAAATACATTTCTCTAGACCCGCAAGTAGTCTAATGCTGACGCGATACCCGGTTCTGACTGAGGTGCCTCCTCGAGTCTTCGACCTCACCTTACGAATATCAGTCTCTTTCGAAGAACCACGGCGTAAGAGCGTGAACTAGAGTCTACGCTAAAGTCCCGAGGTTCAAATAAAGACTCTCCATCCAATTCTCCGGTGAAACGGTGGTTACTTGGACGGTAGCTCCTCACCGAAAGAAACAGCGATCGTACCATAGCCGAAACCAAACAAAACGAGAATTTCCAAGACACCGCAGCACAAAGAGGAGCATCTTGTGAGCGAGGTCAAATTCTTAGTGCGGCGCCGAAACAAGCAGACGCAGAGCAAGCGCGCCGCGGGTGGCGGGCGCCTTTCCTCCGGCGAATGGGCGAGGGCGACGGACGCTCCTTCCCTGAACCTGACCCCGAAGCTGCTCGTATATAAGGGCGCGGAAGTCGTTGCACGCAGGTCCTACTCTGCCGGCCGATTTTGCCTACAGGTTCGGACGGCCATGAAGTCGCTGCTGGTGAGTGAACTCGCTCTTGTCCGGCTCCTCTTCCGGTCTCTCGCCCGGACCAAGACCACCTAATGACGAGGCCGCGTCCTTTCACCCCCAAACGTCGTCACTAGTGAATCCACGGGCGGGGATTCACTAGCGATGATGTAAGGCATCGTCTTCTCGGTGGAAAACAGTCAGTGACAACAGCTGCGGGACGAGGCGATCATCTTATCGCTAAGCAGCCAATGAGATTGAGGCATCGGCCGATAAGAAGGCCGAAGAGCCAATCACGAAGCAAGAAGCGTGACCATAAGGAGTCAGGCCCTTTCTAAGGTGGCAGATAGAGGACAAAACGAGAGAGATGTCAGAAAAACGCAGAGCTCTGGTTGGAATGATTAGAGCTCGTAAAGGAGAGGCTAGGTGCCGCTGTCTCGACTCGCTCATCGGGCGCGTTTAAGTGCCTTCGAGAAGAGACAAAGACAGCTAGTATTGCGCTCTCGTCTCCTCCTCTCACTTAGTTTCAACGCGTATAACTGCAACGAGGCGTACACTGCCAAGTCGCCGATGTCGTCGTCATCAACGAGTGCACTTCATTAATGTAGGGCCGGGCAGTGAACCGCCGCTCACGTAATCGCCGGATTGCGGAAATGGCCGATAAGATCAACCAGGCGCCGACCGATCGCCGCCTAATGGAGGGTCGGTGGCTGAGTAGCGGAAAGTGGAAGTTCTCGCTGCAGAACCCAGGGTTCCTGACTTCCATCCCCACCCCTGCCCGTTTCGATTTGAATGAGCACCGTGCAGGCATGCGGTCGTGTATCGATATACGATGCGCTTTTAAAGTCACCAGGTTAGCGGATGGTACTGCACCGGTTAAATGTATCATCTACAGTCGGTAACCATGACGCCATACTCTGGCAGGCTAACCTTACGCCGTCTAATCATCTAACGTCTAATATGGTTCATTTTGTGTTGGTGTTTACTCCGTGGGATTACGGAAACGGGAACGACAAAGCACCAACCGGGAGTCCTAGACAGTCACTGATAGCCGAAGAAATGCAGGACGTGGTGAGAACATCTTATCCTTAGTCGGTCGTTCCGATAGCGATACCCAACACTCCGCCGGCGTCTTTGCGCGTGCATGGTATCGTTATCTGAGGTCCAAAACAAACTATTAAAGCTCCTTATCGGTCCGCAGCCCATGAGCCTGTGACATTTGCCGAAGAGCGAATCGCGGGGCAAGCAGCGTGACCATAATAAGCAACGCCCTCGTACACACTGACTAATGTGCCAATGAGCCCTATGTACACCCCGCATTACATATCAAGAGCCGTCGTTACGCATTCAATTGGCCTTATTCGGAAGCGTTGCTCGGATTAACCGGCGTCCGAAATCGAGTGCTAACGCAGCTCTCAGTAAACTCGAATCAGCGCGCCGTGTCTGGGACAATGTGTATGACATCGCAGCTAAGTACGCAGTCTGTCTCACCTTGGCCACGTGGCCTGGGCCAAATTTTAAGCGACGTCATCGCCATCGACTGTTTCAGAAATGGGGGTCGTATCGCCGTTCATCTCAAGAGATGACAGCATTTGGATAAGAAAGGTGAAATGACCGTTGGGGAAGCCAGGGACACACGCGTAATGAGTCGCGTTAAATGGCTCGAGTTTTCTGTGTGCTTTCCTCGCCGACCTTGAAACATCGCTAGGTTAGGACCGCGAGCCTGGCGAACTGGTTGCGCACCTGCGCGAATAGAGACGTTGGGTTGCTGACCCACCACCGATAGCTTGGCCTATTATGATCACGCTTCTTGCTTCGTGATCGGTCGGTGTTCTTATCGGCCCATGACGTCATCTCATCGGCTTCGAAGCGATAATAAGGTTCCGGGAACTCGTCACTCACGGGTTTCTTAAGTCATCATTGATTAGAGTGAACAGACCTTTTATTAATACGACGGTGTTTTCTTCCGCGTGGTGGTTTGCAGACAAGCACCAGGAGTGTAGGCCTCGGGCATTCGCATCGATTGCTGGGGTCGGTGGAGCGCGCAAAGGGCTCCTTGAGGCAGTGTTTTCCTTCCTCTTGAGCAGACGCCCATGACGCCGGCGAGCTTCGGGGTCGGCTTGAAATGCTCACAGAGGCCGACGTTCCTTCCGGAATGCCCAAGGGCGAACCAAGGGGCATTGTTGCCAAATGGGGAAATTCGTCACCGGATTTTGAAAATCTGGGGAAATTTTCGAGCCCTTGGTGTTTTGGTTAGTGAAGGACCGCGACACCAGACAAAATCTGTTAAAATCTGGGGGAAAATGCGTCGTCACTTCACGCAAATTAGAAAGGCTCTACCGGTGCTGCTATAAAGAATTGCCATTGCTTGGTTAGGGTGGAAAATAAAATCATGATTGTTTCGAATGAATCGAATAAATCATTTATATTTAATTTAAATCATATTTATTTTGAATCAGATTACTTTGATTCAAATCACTGTAGCTTGAAAATAGTGATTATTTACCCCTAGATGTATTTTTCAACATAGTAGACTGATTGATCCATTCGTTTGATCATTAATAGCAATGCGGAAGAAAGAAGCACTGTAAATGGACAGTCTAATTAACAACTTCTTATTGGAGTAATTCGCGTCATACTAGAACAAAGTATCATATGTATTTGTAGCTAATTAAAAAGCTTTATTTATTTTTATTTAGCGTTTTGACTTGAAAAAACTTAAGACATTACTTTTCTCGTTCTTTTTTTTTTTTTGGAAAAAGGGGGGGGGGCATTTTGATATTGTTTTAGGAAGTTGTTACGTAAGTGGAAAACGAATGGAAAGTAGAGATCAAACTCAACGCTCCGATTTGTTCAGAAGAGTGCTTATTTTTTCTCGTGTTCAGCCTTAGAGAAATCTTCCTCGCTTGATATTTTTTTTTTTATTTAAATACAAAACATCTGTTTTGTATTTGTATCTGTTTTGCACATAGGCATAGAAAACATCAAATGATAGACATGTACGGTAAATATAAAATATTTTCGGGATGGGTTTTGTGAAAAAGCTTCGATTTAAATCGTCATAGTAAAGTTGGTGGCATTTAAATCATACTCATTTATATTCTCCACCCTGTAGGTGGCAAAAGCCGTTGCTCAATTACAGTAAACACTCTAATCACTCTAATCTCTATAATCACTGATAACTTAAGAAACGCGATTATCTTATTATCGCTTCGAAGCCAATGAGATCAGATGATCGGCCGATAAGAACACCTACAAATCACGAAGCAAGAAGCGTGATCATAATAGGCCAAGCTATCGGTGTGTCTACAAGACCGAACACATCGTTCAGATTGGTCAACAACCCAACGCCACAGATTGAAGAGACCACACAAAGAAAAATATTTTACTTAAAAGCTATCCACCAGGGAGTACACAAAATGATTCTTTGTAATTTTATCAAAACGTATATGCTAAAAAAAAAAACTTTTTTTTTTGTCAGGCAATTAAATTTCGGAAGAAAAAAAAGAAAAGCATTTTGCGCAGTGCATAAACTATGAACCAAAGTATTTTTAGGTGCCATTGAAAGGAGCATTGTGACGTTTTCTCTCCGCTGGTCCGTTTCACCGTGCTTCCGTCTCGGTGAGCTCGTTGAGAAGTATGGACGTTTGCCTGAAACTGATCAGGTTAATTTATGTCCTTCCTAAACTATGCGTTCTGAATACGGACGTTTAATTTTTTTAATGCATTTTTATGTGAATATAATTGTACGGTGAAGTATGCTTAAATTTCTACGAGTCCTCGGTGTCGCGACCACTTTCCCATCTTGCGACGCTGTTGAGAAGTGTACGGAAGGCCTTATCGGGGAATTTAAAACACGGTACCCAGATGGCGGAACGCCGATCATAACCTATGCAGGTAAGGGATTTAGGTGCCTCTTTTGATGCTTCGCCACGAAGAAGAAAGGACTCCGGAAGATCAAAGCGTGGGGAATTGAAAGTGGGTAAAGCGTCATATCGGTGACGGCGTAAAGAGTTTAGAGCACCCTACTGGCGCTTTCACAGGCGGGAAAACGTTTCGATGGAGTCGCCAATGGGCTTGCACCAGAAGGTTCTGCACTATCGGATTCGGACTCCCCAAGACTTTCGGAAACACCCGTTCTAAAACAAAAATACACTCCCCTCCAAAAAAAAAAAATATATATATATATATATATATATTAATTAATGAATATAGCAACAATATGTTTCGATTATTGAGTGCACGTTTTCTCGAGGCAAACTGTCGTTTACATCTGCAGTTGTAAGCGCCGAAAGTGATTGAGATCTGAATAGTGTTTCCGTAAAGTTGCTTTCTCCTCAGCGATGAACGTGTGGATAAAAGCCAGCTTTACGGCAAGTCACTTGCGAAGTTGAACGATTCGCACGGCGATGCGTTTCGAGTGAACTTACGCGTGGTCTACGGACGCGAGAGTGTGCGCCCATGCGCTTCCGTGTGCGTCTGTGTCCTCGCTCGTGTTTGTGTGGCGTCTCCGTGTGCTCGTCTGCATGTCCGTGCGTCGGTGAGCTCGAGCACTTCTCTACATCCGAGTGCGTGCAACAATGGTGCCCGGCGTGTCTACTTCCCCGCTGAGCACCTGGATAACCAAACCCCGCGGCCAAGGGAGAGCGCTCAACGAATAACTACGCCTTCGAGCGTTTAAAGCAGAAAATGGAGAAATCAAGTCTTCGGTGTGGTACTGAGCACGGTGCTTCACCTTGTCTTATCGTGCTCGTTGGCCCAAAATAGGAAAAGCACGCCTACATTTGAGGTCCAAACACTTTTTTACAGCGGAGCTGTTAAGAGCTAGTTTCCCCTGTTTCGTGTCTGTGGACAAATAAATCTCGACACAACACTCCGGACGGCTAGCGCCATCTATGAGCGACGATGGCAACCAGACAACCGGCTTGCCGGTTGTCTGGCTTCCGCCGTCGCTCATAGATGGCGGCGCATAGTATAGCTCCGCTTCTCTTCCTTCTTCACCAGAGTGAAAAGGCTGAAAGTTTTGTTTTGTT